CCAACCTCAAATTCTTTGCTACATTTGAGCCCATTGCTGCTGCCACTGTGCCAATCCATCTTGTTGGGGGTCTTCCACTTTCCTCTGACCCTCCATTTTAAAAAGCATGATATCCTCCTCTAGGGACTGGTCCCTCCTGACAATATGTCTGGAATTTGAGAGACAAAGTCTGCCCAGCCTGGCTTCCAGGGAGTATTCTGGCTGTAGTACTTCTTGCAGCACAGATTGGTTTGTTATTTGGCAGTCCATGGTACTTTTAATATTCAACTCTAACACCATAGCTCAGATACATCAATTCTTCCATGGTCTTCCTCATTCACTGTCTAACTTTCACATGCATATGAGATTATTGAAGATACTATGGCTTAGGTCAGGCTCACCTTAGCCCTCAAATGGACATCTTTGCTCTTCAACACTTTAAAGAAGTCTTGTGCAACAGACTTGCTTAATGCAATACATTGTTTTATTTCTTGACTGCTGCTTCCATGAATGATGATGGTTGATCCAAGTAAATGAAATTTTGACTTCAATCTTTTCTCCATTTACGATGATGTTACTTATTGGTCCAGTGATAAAGATTATTGTTTTCTTTACATTGAGGTGCAACCCATATTGAGGGCTGTGGTGTTTGATCTTCATCAGTAAGCATTTTAAGTCCTCTTCACTTTCAGCAAAAAAGGTTGTAGCATTGGCATATCATAGGTTGTTAATGAGTCTTCCTCTATACTGATGACACATTTTTCTTCTTATAATCCAGTTTTTGCTCAGCATACAGATTGCATAAATATGGTGAAAGAATATTACCCTGGTGCACACCTTTCCTAATTTTAAACCAGTCAGTGTTCCCTTGTTCTGTTCAAAGAACTAACTCTTGGTCTATGTACAGGTTCCTCATGAATACAATTAATATTTTTGGAATACGAATTCTCCACAGTGCTGTCCATACTTTATGATACATGAAAAAACAACATCTTTCTAGTATTCTCTGATTTCAGCCAAGATCCATCTTTCATCAGCAATGATAATCCTCATTCCACATCCTCTTCTGAATCAGGCTTGAACCTCTGAAAGTTTTCTGTCAATGTGTGCTTGCAGCATTTTTTAAAGTATCTTCAGAAAAATTTTACATGCATGAGATATTATTGGTTTTGTTCAATGATTTCTGCAATCCATTGGGTTACCTCTCTTTGAAATGGGCACTGTTTGGGATCTCTTCCAGTCACTTGGCCATGTAATTATTTTCCTCCAGTGCTTCATAAGTTTATGGAAGCCTTCAATTTGTATTCCATCAATTCCTTAAGATTTGACTTTGCCAATACTTTCAATACACATCTTGGACTTCTTCCTTCATTATCACTGGCTCTTGATAACATGTTACCTCTTAAAATGGTTGAACATCAACCTGTTTATTTTGATACAATGACTCTGTATATTCATTCCATTTTCTTTTGATGCTTTCAGCATTATTCTATATTTTGCCCATATAATCCTTCAATATTGAAGTGGAGGCTTGGATTTTTTTTTTTTCAGTTTCATCAGCTTGAGAAATGCTGAGTGTGTTCTTCTCTTTTGCTTTTCTAACTCTAGTTCTTGGCACATTGTGTTATAATACTTGACTTTGTCTTCTTGAGCTGCTCTTTGAAATTTTCTATACAGTTCTTTTACCATTTCTTCCATTTACTTTAGCATTTCTATGCTAGAGAGTAAGATTCAGGGTCGTTTCTTGGTCTTTTCCTTCTTTCTTGTCTTCTTAATGACCTTTTGCTCTCTTCCTGTATGATGTTCTTGATGTCATCCCACAATTCTTCTTGTCTTCAGTCTTTAGTGTCTAATGCATCAAATCTGTTCTTCAGATGATCTATAAATTCAGTAGGGATATATTCAAGATCATATTTTGACTCTTGTGTCCTTTTTTTTTTTAGTTTTTTTTGTGAACTGAGTTATAGTTTACATGGGAGAACATCGGCTTTACATCATCATTTCATTGCAATGGTTACAATCTTCTCCGTGCATCATCATTCAACCATATTTGCTCCCATTTGCTCTGTTTTCTTTTGGGGGTAAGAGGATGTATACTGAAACACTCAGGAATATATAATAATTTAAACAATCAAAGGGCACATTCTTTCCATGAGTCCCTCCCTTTCCATGAGTCTAGAGTCCTCAGCTGCTCCCTCTCTCTATGTCTTTATCTCTGCCTCCATTTTTGTGGAATTGTTTTAATTTTCATCAGTTTCAGCCTGAACCTGCATATGGGTAATTAATAATCTGTTCCGCAAGCTGTCCCTGGCCAAATTTTGGCTGATGATATGGAGCTTTTTCATTGTCTCTGCCCACAGATGTAGTCAATTTTATTTCTGTTATTCCATGTGGATAGTCATCTTTACAGTGTTTTTAAAAAGGTATTTGCAATGAAGAAGTCTTGTAAAATTATTTCATACAATCTCCAGCATCATTTCTGTCACCAACGCCGTATTTTTCAACTAATGATCCTTCCTATTTGTTTCAAATCTTTGCATTCCAGTCACCAGTAATTAACAATACATCTTGACTGCATGTTTGATCAATTGCTAACTGAAGAAGTTTGTAGAATTCTTCAATTTCATTTTCACTGGCTATAGTGGTTGGTGAATAAATTTGAATAATAGTTGTATTAACTGGTCTTCCTTGTAGGTTTATGGATATTATCTTAGCACAGACAGTGTTGTACTTCTAGACAGATCTTGATATGTTGTTTTTGATGATGACTGTGATGCCATTCCACCTCCATTCATGTGATTGTCAGATTCAGAAATGACCAATGCCGGTTCACTTCAGTTCCTTAATGCCTAAATATTGATGTTTATGCATTCCATTTAATTTTTGACAATTTCCAATTTGCCTAGATCCATACACTCTATGTTCTGATTATTAATGGATGGCTACAGTTGTTTCTTTTTGTATTGTGTTGTGTCCCATCATCAGATGAAAGTCCTGAAGGCCTTACTCCGTTCACATCATCAGTCAACTCTATTTTGAAAAGGCAGCTCTTCCCCAGCCACATTTTAAGTGTCTTCCAGTTAGAGGGGCTCATCTTCTGGCACTACATCTGATAATACTCTGATGCTCTTCATCATGTTTCTACATTCAATATTCTTGTGCTGACTGTGTTCCATTGTTATTCATAAGGTTTTAAGTGACTAAATATTCAGAAATGGTCTGTCTCTCCTTCTTCCTAGTCTGTCTTCTTCTGGAAGTGCAACTGAAACTTGTCCACTGTAGGTTACTCTTCTGGTACTTAAAATACCCATGGAATAGATTCCAGCATCACAGCACCACACAAGACATCCCAGTATGCCAAACTGACAGATGAACATTGTATATATATATATGTGTGTGTGTGTGTGTGTGTGTATTGTTATCATTGATAAGTGCCGTCGAGTCAATTTTGACCCATATCGACTATGTATTAGGTTTCCTAGGAGTGGTTGGTGAGCTTGAACCACTGACCTTGTGGTTCAAACTGAATTTGCAGTCCAGCATGCTAGCCCACAGAGCCACATCAGGACTCCTGTATACAGACGTATAAGTGTATGTATGTGTATATATCTATATCTATATCTATCTATATCTATATCTATACCTATAGAGAGAGTATATGAATATGACAGATGCCTTGATGGTACAGTGGTTAAGCACTCAGCTACCAATCGGTTGGTGGTTAGATCTCTCCAGCAGCTCCACAAGAGAAAATTGTGACAGATTGCTTCCCTAAAGACTGCAACCTTGGAAACTGTTCTACCCTGTCCTATAAAGTCACTGTGGGTAGGAATTGACTTAAAGAATGACAAGGGTTCTGGTGTTTGTATATGAATGTACATGCAATACAAATTAAGTACTTTAATTAGGTATTAACTAGCCATAGTATCTTCATCCAAAACAACTATAATTTGCATTTGAAAGAAAATCTTATATATGATATAATTTTATATAACCAATGAAAATCTTACATAATCCTAACCTGTTGATTTGGGTGTCAATGCTGGCTAAAAATTTCTTTTAAAATAAGACCAAAAGACCATGTTTTTGCCACTATGATGGATATGCCACACTTCAAAACATGAAAACATACACAGATATCTACACATATCTTACAACATATTATCCATTTTTTTCTCTTATACCAGATATATATTTGAACTAAGCAGGAGGACTCATATTCCAGAGGTATTTCTCAGTAAAGCACTTGAACCAACCCTAAAAAGTCTTGAAGAATGTTGTGACTCTGGAGACTACACTGCCTGTTTTTTAGCTAAGGTATAATTTGTGAGATTTTTTTTTTTTTGTCAGCATTGGTATAAACCAGAGGTTTGCAAACTGCTAAAATCAAATCTGATCTGAATCCCATTTCTATAAAGCCTGTGAGCTAAAATATGTGCTTTTAATACGCTAATGGGTGAAAAACATTTTAAAGAATAATTATATGATATATAAAAGATATGAAATTCAGATCTCAGTGTTCATGAATAAAATGTTACTGTAGCATTGTTATGTTCATCCACTTATGCATTTTTAATAGCTGCTTTTGCTCTGTAAAAATGCAGTTGAGTATTTGTGACAGAGACCATATTGCATGCAAAGTCTAAAATATTTATTAACTGTCTCTTTTTAGAAAGCAAACTTGCTGATGTCTATTGTATACATTAACATGGTATTCTGATTTAATATGCTCTTGGAAGAGTGTTTCAAGACAAAGAATTTGGTTAGCAAGCAATGTTTCATTACAGGGTCCTCTATTGAAGAAAGAACTATCTTCTTTCATTGAAAAAGGACAAGAACTATGTGCTGACTATTCTGAAAACACATTTACTGAATACAAGAAAAAGTAAGGATCTTGTTTTGGCTATATTTTCCAAATGTATTATTAATATTTACCTGATATTGTGACTTGAAAGCATAAAATATGCAAAGTGAGCAATAAAAAGATGAGGTACAAAAAGTAAAAGAGTAGAAGCTAAAATCTGGGCAGAAGAAGCAAAGTGTTCATTTTTGGGGGAAAATATCATGTATATCAGGTGAGAGGTCAATTAGAACACAGCCACAAAAATGTAAATTACAAAGCCTCCATGAAAGGATTTGGTTATAACCCTGCTGAAATGTTATTCACTTTGTGGCATCTAAAAATGGAAGCCAGTCATCACCAGCATGCATTCCCTTTAAGCTGGAAATAAACAAGTTAATTAATTGTCAATAATGTTGAAGTCCTGGTGTGGTGCTATAGGATAAGCACTAGACTGGTGGTTCAAAACCACCAACCTCTCCTTGGAAACCCTATATAGAGTTACTGTGAGTTGGAACTGACTGGATGACACGTAAGGTAAATAACAACAATGTTGTTATTTAGTCATGTGTCTCAATTAAGAGGAGGAGAAAGCATTTAATTGCAAGGAGATGTTAACACTAAAGCTATAAGCCAGAAAAATAAAAGATATTGCACTACATTCCTACAAAAAGTCTCTGCTGAGAAAGTCATGTAATCCCTAAATTTCTTTTATTAATAAATAAATTTGATCCATTTCAAATATTTTTAAACAAGTAAACAAAAATAGATATCGATAAAAGTATTATTTAATGAACCCAGAAAGTGGATATCCTAGCCAATGAGTCCCTATTAGATTTGCATTTTTGTTGTTGATGGTAGTAAGTGCCATCAAGAGATAGGCTTTCCAAGGAGCAGCTGTTGGATTTGAACTGGCTACCTTTTTGGTTAACCTTGCAGGGCTTATCCTACAGAACAAAGCTCTAAATGAAAAACTGTCAGAATCATATATTCAGAATGGTTATTACCCAGTTTTCAGAAACTTTTTCATATTATAATCTAATAGACCATTATGGACAGAGTGTAGAATAATGTTAAGCAGAAAATTCATGATTAAGTTTTATATCAATAATTCTAGATGCCAGAATTGTGCAGCACAATTAATAGTCTAGATTCCAGATGAATTAACATCTGTGGGCATTAAATGTTCAAAAATTGAGAGTATTGATTTAGGGTAGCTGAACTCTTCCACTTCCCCCCCAATGTTTTCTTTTTTCTTTTTTTTACACCTATCCCTTGGGTTTCCTCTGACCTTACTAACCTACTGGTGTTAATAATGAATTTATGAGCAAAATGAATCCCCTCACCTTCTTTCCCTTCCTGTATCCATTTTGCCAATCCCCAACTCTTTGAAAATTGGAATCTCTTCTATTTCCCATTACCCCATGCTGGATTGGCAGTTATTTCTTGGAGAAAGTCATAAAGTCAGGCTGAGTTATCTATTATGAATAGGGAAAGACATTCAGTTCATAGACTGTTCAAATTGGGAGAGATTCAAGAGATAGTAAGGCTTATCCCCATCTTAAAAGTGAGATTTGTCATTTGTTACAACCAGTTATAATTGTTTGACAATTGATTTAGCTCATAGTGTCTCCATGTGTGTCGCTGTAGAACTGTGTTCATTAGGACTTCCCATGTTGGTTGCTGTTATGTGCCGTCAAGATGGTTCCAGCTGTATAGAGTTTCCAAGGAGCGGCTGGTGATTTTCAACCACCAACCTTGTGGTTCAAACCAACCTTGCTTTATCTCACAGTGCCACACCAGGGTGTTCCATAGCGTATTCCAAAAAGCTTGATAATCGTATGGCAAAAAAACAAGAATCAAAGTTATCTGAACACTATTTCATTCTTTTTTAGCATGTATGTTGAAAAGTAGACTGAGAGGAAAATTATGTAAAATTTAAGAGAACTACAACAACAACAAAAAGTGGCATAAGGAGATAATTTAAGGTGTTTGAAATCTAGAACTAGAAAGCTGGTGAAATCCCATAAAAATAGAAGAGGGAAGTCATTCATATTGAAATAACTGAGCAAATTGAAGTGGAAAGGTAATAATTAAAATTATAAGCAAATTGCATGTTTACTTTCATAGTCATAGTTTTCACTTTTAAATCCCAAATTAAAATCATAAAAGTGTTCTTGAGGGTTGGGTAAAGTATTTCCACATTTATTTCTTTGCTATAAAATATCTGAAGTAATTATCATTTTGCGCTAGGAACATTTACGAATATCCATCTATTAAAACTTTTTATTGAAATGGTTTTTCAGACTTGCAGAGCGACTAAGAGCAAAATTGCCTGACACCACCCCTACTGACCTCGCAAAGCTGGTTGACAAACACTCAGACTTCGCCTCCAAATGTTGTTACATAAACTCACCTCCTCTTTACTGTGATTCAGAGGTAGGGGCATTTAACTCTCTATTTACTATATTATATTCAAAAAACACGATCCAATTACTCATTCCTTTCTTGTTATTGAGTTATCTATATGTAACAGGCTTTTCCTGGTTCTATTATAACTCTGTTTGTTGTCTTTACAATGAAAGCAAAAACACATTTAGAAAAATTGTATCATACCATAACTTCAACCTTAATTATAAAAACTATTAAATATAATTCTGTTATAAAATAATACAGTAAAACAAATGTAACTGAAAAATTACTAAAGGTCATAAAATGTTTCTTCAACATGAATTACATTCAAAAGTTTAAAATATATATATCTTAAAAATGTTATGATTTTAGAGTGCCATTTTTTGTAATTTCAACTTTTTCTTTGACAAATATCAACTAGTTTCCAGTTATGAAAGATACATACACTAGAATTCTTAGAAATATCCTAATTTTCCTTCATATCCTTCCTAAGTTTTATATTTTATATTAATTTTTAATATTATCAATATTGGTAACACCAACTATTTGTCACCATAATTTTCAAAAATATGTAGATGCTGTCTATGTTTAAATGAATTTCAGGAATGATTACTATCTCATTTAATCAAGACTTTTATTTCCTGGGTATGTAATTTAAATTTATATTTTTAAAAAAAGTTTTAAAATTGTTACTTTTTTCAGGACTTTTCTAATGTTTTTCTTACTTATATTCTATTTTTTGTTTGTTTGCTTGCTTGTTTTGTTTTTTAAGGTTTTTATTGTGGATTGAGTAAAAGTTTACAGGGCATATCATCAGTTTTACATTCAACAAATCATATACCTTGTTTCATTACATTGATTATAATCC